CTCTCTCTCTCTCTCTCTCTCTCTCTCTCTCTCTCTCTCTCTCTCTCTCTCTCTCTCTCTCTCTCTCTCCCTCTCTCTCGGTGTGTGTGTGTGTGTGTGTGTATGTCTGTGCACGTCATGCAGAGTATCTCCAAAATAGCGGCGCAGCAGCTCTTCTGCCTGGGACTTGGCAATATGGTACAGGTGACCGGGACTGGGACTGGAACTGGAACTGGAACTGGAACGTGGGACGGGACTGGAACTGGAACTGGAACTGGAACTGGAACAGGAACTGGAACTGGAACTGGAACTGGAACTGGACAGGAACTGGAACTTGGTATTGGAACTGGAAATGGAAACGGAACTGGAACTGGAACTGGAACTTGGGACTGGACTGGAACTGGAACTGGAACTGGAACTGGAACTTGGTACGGGAACTGGAAATGGAACTGAAACTGGAACTGGAACTTGGGACTGGAACTGGAACTGGAACTTGGGACTGGAACTGGAACTGGAACTTGAACTGGAGCTTGGGACTGGAACTGGACCAGCAACTTGGGACTGGGACTGGAAGTGGAACTGGGATGGGAACTGGGACAGGAACTGGGACCAGGCTGACAGTGGTGAAATCCTTTCAAAAGCAATTTAAGAACCCAAGTGTCAGAAGATTGAAGCTAGAAGTGACATGACATCAGGAGTATTGCACAGAAAAGGCAAGATGACACCCAGACACCATTGCACGTCCAGCCATTCTCGTTTCAAGTCCCTACAAGTTGATGAAGCCTCCTCTCCTTCTTTTTTTTTTTTTTTCTGAATGGTGAAGTTAAGTACGATTCAAACTCATGACCTGTTTGTTGTTCATCGATAGTTAGTTACACCTGTGTACCATTCAGCCATAAGGCAGGTGTGAGCTGATGCAGTATTCGCACCTGGACTTATCCGGACGTATTTGACCACAATGAAGTGCAGGTTCACTGGATAAGTGAAGGCAATCCAAGCAAGAGAAAGCACGGAGCAAAAAACTCGAAGCTGCTGGCAAGTTTAGGGAGTGTTCGAACTAGGACGTATCCGGACGTATTTGACCACAGCAAAGGCCAGATTCAGTTCAAAAAGTGTCAGTCTGTGAAGGACCTAAGCCAATCTTCCTTTCGCAACAGTCTGACAGCCTGCGCGTCTGGCTTGCTACAAACTTCTCAATGGGGGAAAAAAAGGAAGGGAAAGACGAACGACCCAAGACAAAGTATGAGTACAAAACCTCTTTCTTCTTTTTCTTTTTCTTTTTTTTTTCATTTCATCTGATGAGCCATGTGAAACGGTATTCGCCTGTTCGCAGTAGCGGATGCAGATCCCAGGGCTTGATCCCTAGTCCTCACCTTCCCTGTGTACAGTATCTGTGTCGACCCCGGTACTTGAACCCGTGACCTGTGTATTCGTAACAGTTGGTAGACTGTTGTACGGTCCGTAGGTTGTAGGGGTTCGATCTGTAGACCTGTCAGATAGAGGTCTTAGGGAGTCTAGAGGTCGTAGCTGCTACAGTCCTGAAAGGTCAAGGTCGTAGCTGCTACAGTCCTGAAAGGTCAAGGTCGTAGCTGCTACAGTCGTGAAAGGTCAAGGTCGTAGCTGCTACAGNAGTCCTGAAAGGTCAAGGTCGTAGCTGCTACAGTCCTGAAAGGTCAAGGTCGTAGCTGCTACAGTCGTGAAAGGTCAAGGTCGTAGCTGCTACAGTCGTGAAAGGTCAAGGTCGTAGCTGCCGTAGTCCTGAAAGGTCAAGGTCGTAGCTGCTACAGTCCTGAAAGGTCAAGGTCGTAGCTGCTACAGAGTTCGAAAGGACAAGTCTCCAGCCTTCCGGAAGGTGCCAGTACTGGCCTTTCGAAGTTGCTCACGTTTAGACAGAGGCAAGTGGGCAAGTGGTGAGCCCAACTGCGGTACGTCGGCGGTGTGATTGCAGCGAGTTGGCAGTGCAAACCCATGCAGTCAGCGGTACTGGTCCCAGTCAGTCTCAGTCCAGTCAAGCAAGTACCATATGGGAATGTGTGCACCAGGGGCATGGGAAAGGGGCAGACCAACGAGCTACAGAAGTATGAATCAAAGAGGCAGCCCCCAGCTATTCATTCATTCCTGCGTAAGCCATGCGGAAGCGCTGCCATAGCGACTTGTGCGAGGTGGTCTGCAGTGAGCCCGAAGACGAAGTGGGCGAGAAGGAGGGCTTAGCCATAGCGATAGGGATTGCAGCGGCCATAGCCGCCATAGTTGATAGGAGAGTGTAGCATGTGTGTACAGTGTGACGCGTGTGGGATATCCTGGGTGATCCAGTGTGTGTGAACAGAGAGTTGTAGAGGTGCTGTTGCGCCATAGCCATTTGAAGTGAACTTGTATCTGAACTGCGTTCTTGGTTACCATATCTCTGAGTTCTGAGTGGGCGCTTGTCGCCAGTTTGCTGCGCAACCTGTTTACATGCATATGAAGTGTGAAAGATAGCGAGTCTGATTGCACATGCTCTTTTTTAAGCACTACTTTTTGTGAGCCACCAGCTCGATTCCCAGCCATTTTTTCGGAGTCGCGGCATGCATGCTGGTGCGAGTCTCTCGGGAAGTACTGGGGTGCCATTTCCCGGCACATCCGTCCAGGCAAAAGGGGTCACATCTGACGCCCATTTTGCCTGGATGGATATCGTGCGAAACGGTGCTCCGGTACTTCCCAACAAAAGTCCGGTCATTATAGCTGTATGTATCTGGGGTATCTTTCAGTCTAAATACAGCTTCTTCCTGGTGGTTTGAGTGCAGGTCCTGTGATTCATGCAATGCTGATGAAATCTGACCAACGAGTTGACATTGTAGTCAGACTATCTTCTTCCCCCGAATACAAGGTACGGTCATTATAGCTGTACGTATTTGGGGTATCTTTCAGTCTAAATACAGCTATAATGACCGTATACGTATTTGGGGTATCTTTCAGTCTAAATACAGCTATAATGACCGTACCTTCTATTCGGGGGAAGAAGGCAGGACTTTTCCAGACGTATTTGCCCAAAGTTACAGCCAGATTCCGTCTCGAAATTCCCAGTCTGACGACTGCATTAGCCAGTCTTCCTTTTTTTTTCTTTTTTTTCTTTTTCCCTCCTTCGGGACATCCATTAAAATTACAACGATGCAGAGGAGGAAGATAAGCATGGCCCCTGTGCAAGTAAGGATGACACGCATACCCACCCACCCAAAAAAAAAAAAAAAAAAAAAAAAAAAACAGCTACAAGCACACGGTCACTACTCAGCATAGCAACTGAGACTTCCGCACATGCACGCACACAGCAGAACTCAACCAGTTCACGGAAATCTCAGCAAATCAGCTCGTCATTGAGTCGCCAAGCGGCAATACTCAGAAAACAGGAAGAAATCTCACACTGATTCTGTTCGGGTCATCACACCTTGTTCTTGGTAGGGTTTAGGGTTTATAGTGTTTTGGGTCTACAGCAGCAGCCCAATAGGTAATCCACCAGACAGTCACTAGACTCACTACAAGAATCAACTTCTGATCAACAAGTGAACTACAAATGGAAATGCAGTTTCTATCTATGTTGGGCCGCCGCCCGGCCTGGCACGCCTGGGCCAGTTGGGCAGAGGGGGGGTCGCCCGGCAAAACCAGACGGGTCAAAAATGAGGCAAGGATCCCCCCCACCACCAAAAAAAAAGGACTTTAGGCCAGGACTGCGCTTGGCCTAGCAGTCAGAATCCGGTCTTAACTCCGGTTTCGGCTCTGGGTCATCCAGGGGGGGTTGGGGGGTATAAACAGTGACTGAAGGGGTTAAAAGGGTACATTTGGACTCATGTTTCTCATTTATTTTTTATCTTAAAAATTAACCAGGAACTTTGAGGTGGCCCTCAGCTAAAAGTCGTTTGAATTGCAATTTTACACAACATTTTTTTTTTCCGGATTTTTTTTTTCTTTTTTATTTTCTATTTGTTTTTAATATTATGTGCTGGGATCGTCCGGGACTCTGCCCGGGCAGCGCGGGAGGGTACTCCCCCAGTCGGGCCGCCCGGGAAAACTGTTACATACTCCAATGAGTATGGCAGAACCAAGAATCAACCAATATAGGATGAGTTTTTATGCAGTGGAAGTCTTATAACGAACTGACTCACATAGACTGACTCACATAGAC